ACGCTAGGGGACTGCTTAAAGGAAAGATGGTACTGTAGACTATACTGTATCCCAAATATTTACAAATGCGTCACTAATAAACTATATACAGAGAGGGGAGTCCTAACTCTTCAATCTTCTCTTGATTTCTCTTGATTTCTTCACTTGCTGTTGTCTTCGAGTGCCGCTTCCGAAATGAACAGCTCACAGACCAAAATGCCCTTCTTATATCTCGCAAGAGAGCGTCTCAGTATGTGAGTAGAGTCGTGAGGCGATGCCGCGCGCTGATTGGTCGGCGACATCGCGTGATCTGTTGCCGGTGTGCGTGGTGCGCGGGGCGCAACGGGGCATGAAAGGGCTACGGGGCGGCGGCTCCCTTCGCCGTCCGTAACAAAAGGTATAGTTGGTTCTGTCGTCTATCTTCGTTTTCGGAAGCGTTTCAAAAATACCCTGTATAGTACACTTATTTTATTAATCAATATATACACAAAACACATTTACACTACTTAAAATACACTTTTAATTCTGTACTTTTATATATGATTTGTCAATTAATATTATGATTATGATACATATGTTATATTTGAGTTGCTTTATGTATACTATTAGAATTAAGAGAAGGATTTACCTAATATTTTTGTTCCTAAATATAAAATATATATTTAGTTCTTAAGTATTCATGCACCTTAAAACTAAGTTTTAATCAGTTTTTGCGTTAAATTCATGACGATAGATTCTACGTGGTAGAGCCATTCTTTTTACGTAGTAGAGCCATACTGCAGCTATATTAGTAGTATAGTTGTAGCACGAATGGGTCGGTTCGACCGAGGAAGGACCACGCTCTCACAGAATACCAGCGTAAAATAGCAGCTCAATGCTGCTGTGGTTCGTTTGGTGAGTGTAGAGAAACGGAGACCCTTTTTACTGGAAAAGAGGCATTCCATATTAGTCCTCACGGGTGGCAACGAATCTGCATTTTGATTCGCAAACGGAGGATAAATGTAGATGTCTATGGGCCACAGCAACCACTTACCATCAGGTGGACTGTGTGCTCGTTTGTCACCCTATTCTATAAAAAAATACTTGTTTAAAAAATATTACAAAAGGCGAAAATATAAGGAATATTATAAATGATTCTTCAAGACAGCGTTGTCACCATTTTTGAAGAACAAGAACACGGCACATCTGCTCCACGCCTCCGGTGTAGTGCCATGTACCATGGAGGACGGAATCAAAGAGCCTCTGAAGGACTTCGAGTAATGCTTTTCCACTCGCTTTTAGAAGCTCCGCTGTAACTCCATCCTCGCTTGGAGCCTTGCCTTTTTTAAGTTGCTGGAGAGCCATTCTAATCTCGCTCAGACTGACGTCCGGGATATCACCGGATAGTGTCGGCTAACATTTGCACTTGGGTCGTTACTCACACTTGTGTGTGGCTCCAAGAATGACGTGTACAGCTGCCCATAGAACCTCTCAATCGCACTCAAACTGTCAGGTGTCCCGGAAACGATGCTGCCACATTCGGTCTTCATCTTCGACAGTTGGCTCTTTCTGGCAGACAGATCTCTAGCAAAGATTTTGGAGCCCTGGTTCCGCTCGATCGCATCTTCAATACGAGCAGTATTAAAGTTGCGTAAGTCCCGCCGCACGCATTTGGAGAACTGTCTGTTTAGGTGCGTGTATTGCATGAACAGTTTCTACGAGCTTATCATTCATATCGCCCTATACTGCCCTGTAATACTACTGTATTGCAATCTTCTAGGCGCTGAAAACGGTTTTGTAGCTCGAGCTGAAAGATTTCAGGACTTTGGATTAGAGCACGAGGAGGAGGGAACGTTGACTTGATTAGACGTGACCTCTCTAAATTAACGCTTAAGTACAGTGTGCCTCTAACCATTCTGTGATCACTGCCAGTTTTCACCCTCGCGATTACTGAGACATCACTGAACAGTTGTCGTCTGGTCGTCATAATGAAGTCAATCTCATTATTTGTCGAACCGTCAGGGCTTGACCAGATCCACTTCCTGTGGAGCCGCTTCTGAAAGAAAAGGTTTATCATAAAGAGTCTCTCTTTATCCATGAAGTCGGCTGCTGGCCCCGTGGGTTCCGTTGCCCTTATCCGAATTTCCCTCCTTTCAGCTTACCGTTCTCTCTTGTGCCTAGTTTTGTGTTGAAGTCTCCCATTAAAGTCGTAAAGTGGGTTTTGGAGGACTCCATGGCTCTAGAGACATCCTCATACATTTTCTCTACCTCCTCATAGGGATGTCCCGAGGTTGGTGCATAAACTTGTATGACCTTCAGCGAATACCATTTGGTGATTCTGAGTATAAGGTATGTAATCCTTTTCGACATACTTCCAATATTTACACAACTTTGTTAACGAGAGACTTGACGGACCACAAATCCAACACCTCCTTAGGACAGATGGTCGTCCTTACGGTAATAGAACAAGTTACCGGATTCGAGGATTACCGTGTCCTTCCCCTCTCTTCGGACCTCTGATAATCCTATAATATACCGGCGCAACTTGTCTATCTCTTCTTCCCTGCTTATGCCTAAATTTGGTTATGTTGAACACCGTCCAATTGCGTTCGAGCTGTCGCGTCACCCGATGGTATTTAGGTGAGATAAGCGCCGAGGTGGGGCGGCCGTGTGCGGCTTGCAGTGGCTAGACGCGTGGGCGATGACGAGGGAGTTGCCCACGGGCCGTGAAGCGGGGAACCCACGTAGCTCGTTTATTGCGGCCGAAGTTCACGCGATCGTTGTCGGGTCCAGATAGTTAGATTAAGTGCTTGTTACTTCGTTACGTGGATATGTGAATTTTGCAATATTTAATTTGTTCGGGGATGCGCCGCTCCGCCGTTACCATGGTCGCCACCGTAGCCTAGCCTAAATACTTGCTAATTAAAAGTTACTTTTAATTAGTCTAGACCATGAGACCACTGAAAACCTTTCATATACATAGCTTTAATATTGGATAGATCATGAATACACACACACAGATACACACACCCACACATACACACACACACACACAGGCGCGCGCACGCGTGCACACATGCACGCACGCACGTACGCAAATACACACACACACCCACACACACCCACACAAACCCACACACACACAAACACACACACATATATATATATATATATATATATATATTTGCAACGTGGTAGAGCCATGCTATTTTAGTAGTAAGTATAGTAGTAGCACGAATGGGTCGGCCTGACTGGGGAAGGACCACGCTCTCACAGAATCCCAGTGTAAAATGGCAGCTTGATGCTGCTGTGTTTCGTATGGTGAGTGTATACAACCAGATACCCATTTTACTGTAAATGAGATATTCCATCTTAGCCCTCACGGGTGACAACGCATCTGCATTTTGATTTGTAATCGAGGATAGATACTCGTAGTCTATGGACCGCAGCAACCACTTACCATCAGGTGGAATGTGCTCGTTTGTCACCCTTATCTTACAAGAAAGCACAAAAGTAACTAATATTACAATATCATGTCTCTCATATGTTAATCATACAAACAGGATGTTAAGTTATGGTGATAGTATCCTGAGGAAGAACGAACAACGAAGCCTGTGTTACGGATCACAAGAATCTTCCTTGTGATCCGTAGCACAGGCTTCCGTCTAGTACAGACACCAGACTCTCAGCCCATAGTGTACATTTTTTATACTTGTAAGAGTAAATAAAATATATTAATATTATATGAAAACGGCGACAGTGGGCATAGTCGTAAGGATCGATAATACATCCTCCATCCCATCCATAAAGATCGGGATACGTCAATTTAGTAGATTGCATGCTGGTATTGTGTCATAATCTAGAGTAAAAAAATTGGACCATAAGGTTCATATTAATTATACCGGATTTGGAATTGATGAATGCATGGTAAATAATTGGGTTCAAATTATCATAAATGGAACACCTTTGATTAAAATAGATCCTAAATTATAATAGTTATTGAGATATTTTAACTTAAAGTTGAGAGAAAAAATGGTCGAGGAAAACACTGTAAGCTCTCATGAATATATCGACTGGATGCTCAGAGAATGAACTGACGTTCAATACACAAAAATCGTTGAGTAGATCAAGAGTATATATCCTTGCTGCTAACCTCATGCATTCAAAAAGCAGACTAAATCCCAGTCTTGGCTGAAAAGCACCGCTACAGATTTCGAAGTTGTTCTAAAAGTTCTAAAACTAAATAAATATTCCAAATGTTGCTTATACATAAATATGTATGAACAAACAGAGAAACTAACACACAAACTTTAATAATAATTCTTAAGTCACAATATTATTTAATACTATTTTGCAACTATGATGGATATAAATCTATTATTCAGTTGTTTAATAACTAAAGTTCATTACTTTAGTTATTTTGTATTTAATATTAATTTTAGTTTTTGTAAAATAAAATTGAAACTTTTATCACAAGCGTCAAGATATTCTAAATAAATAAAGAGACACTAGCTGGTTATTAGTAGCTTTTATTCTCTACAAAAGATACTTATTTTGCAGTTAGTTTTTATTCCTAAAGAAATTTAAGTGTTTTTCTACTACTAAATGTAAGAATTAAGTGAAACTACAAAAATACTAATAAAATATGATTAAACGTAATAAACTGTTCTAATTTAAATTATAAGTTTATAAGGAAAAACTTCTGGAAAAGCCACAGGATTTTTAATATACTTTTTTCATACTTTGTTATACAAACACAATTAAATAAAAATTACGAGCTTTGGCACATAATTTTTCTCTGGTCCTTGTATATTATGTGATTTGTTGCTGCTATAAAAGTGATTTACTAAAACCAATTGAATATAAATATTTTGTAAAAACGATACCGTAAAATCGAAATCAAATAACATCAATTTCGAGTAATTTGATTTATATCAGCCATCAAACTAATGTGTCCTATATGACTCTCGTATCATCGGCTGTATAACAATTGTATTCACGTTAGTTAGGAGTATTAACGCGAAATTATTACAAGTATAAAAATGAAGAGTAACAAAGTTGCTCAGAAAACTACGCCTCTTGCAGGGTCTGCCAAGTATAATAACTTTTTAGTAACGTTTAATGTCGCACATCGACTAAAATATTTAATTGATACAGAAATATTATTCGGAGTTAATCGTATATATTTACTTGACTGTAGCAAAGCTAAGTTCTGGACAACCCAATTGTACATACCGTTTTTACTGGCTGTAATAATTTACTTGCTTATATTTACTAGCTCGTACAGTGCAACTTATAATGTGGTTAGAAATACATCTTATGTGGAGTGTGTACTATTATCTATTAGTGCAACGTACTTACAAAGAAAAAAGTTGTCAGATTATTTTAAAAATATGAGTACATTCGACGAAAATTTTCATTTAATTAATCAATTGATTTCTCCTAACCCTAAAAAATCTTTTATTTGTGTTGGGGTTATTATTATTAGTGTAATTGTGGAGTTCCTTGCTCTCGCTTCTTTTGGAACCGAAGATTTAATTTTTTCTGTATACGTTATTTACTTTTGTAATTTAATTCATGAAATAGAAATGTTATTTTTCTGCACATTACTACATTCCATATTATTACGAATCCGCATACTTAAGACCTATGTTGCAAACTTATTTAATGTTAAGGAATACACAACGGAAAGTAGTAGAAAATCATATACAACTCAAGAATCTTCAAAAACAGTAAACTTCGATATAAATTTCTTGCATAAAAATTATGAATTATTACATAAGATGTCGGAGGAATTAAATTCAAGCATGAGTTTTTCTGTAAGTGTGATTTCAAAATGTGATTTTACGAAGAATAGCAAAACAAAATGAATTGTATTTATATAAATTGACTTTGTTTCAGATGATTGTAATGTTTTCCTCTTCAGGTATATCTACAATAATGTTATTAAAACATCTATTTCAAATGTTTCAAATCAATGAAATTACTCCGGTGGTTTAGTATCATCATATACTTCCTACTTTTTATTAGTATTTTAGATACGTTTCGAAAATTCATTAATATTAATGTTTTAAATATATTTTTAGCAATTGAACATCAATGTAGCATATGTAACAATACGGTGCCTCAGATTAACGATACTTATGATCATTCCTTGCTATTTATCAAACCATATATATTCACAAGTAGCTGTAATTCGGAAGATTCTTTATGATGCTTTGGATTTCAAAAAGCAAGGTACTAACCATTTTTGTCTTAAATTCATTTAGTGCCAGATAGTGTCAACATAATAGAATATATTAACCTATTTCGTTCAATTAGTTCAGTGAGTATCATATGAAACGGAAATGGATAATTTTGGAATTATCTCATGGCTTTTGACACACACGAGTACTATCTTGTATTTAATACCCAAACATAACATAAAATATCCAAATCCAAGTGGGTGTGTGCGATTTCTGCTACTGCAGAAGCTAATCTGCCTGGCAAGTATGGTGGATATGGCAAATTTATGAGGTTTATTTCCTTATTCGGACTGTTAAGTAATTAAATCGTAATAAAAAATATTAAAAAATAACATCAAGGCCTGCAAGACACCTGTGATAACCCTGATGTAGCAATTGTTCATACGCGGAGGTAGTTAATTAATATCAGGCGAGAATAAAAAAATATCACTTTCTTACTTATCCTATTGTATTTCTTTCTTAAGTACTTTAAATTACCGTAATAACTTATAGCTATATATACTTGGCTATCCCTGCCACACCAGAGAAATGATTAATTTCAGTTTTATGTGCTAATTTACCACGTGCTTGGCGGTCAAGGAAAACATCGTAAGGAAACTTGAATGTCTTAGAGATAATTTTTATTTATTTATTTATTACAAAAAGAGTTAAAGCATCATTACAAACCTACCAAGACAAGACCAAAAATTTAAAATATAAATCATTAAAATTAAAATTAATTAAACTTAATTTAAATTGTAAATATAATTAATAAAATATTACAATAAGTTTCTACCTTTGCTAGGCTGTGGTCTGCGTTTTTTCCCTCAATAATATTCAATTAAAAGAAAACAAAGGTGCAAACTTAAGCAGATTTGTCCTGGTGTATGGCACCTTAAAAGTGGAATGTGGGCGACGCCTAGTCACCGCCTTATCGGGCTAGCACAGCTGCAGTGCTCCAGTACTTCGAAGTGGTGCAGTTTGTCACGGAGCATACGTCACACGTACTTGCAGAGCGCGACATCACGCCTCACACCAAGCTGGCTGTACCCGACCATGCCAAACATGAACGAGCTCGGGTACATCAGCGTGTAGAAAGGATAGACGCCGTACTCTTTCAATTAAAGAAACTGCGTGAAATTATTTTTAATTTTTACCACCATGATTATATATGGTTTTTCATAAGGATCCCAAATAAATGCATTCATTTCTAGCCGGCTCCGAACAAGTGAACTTTATGGCACTTAAATTACGCTAGTACTATGAATGCAATGCAAATCCATGCAATTCCTCAGATTCGTAAATTTATGAAGGGCTTTTAGCAGATATTTACAATAAGCTTCATCATTCATCATCATTACAGCCCTTCACAAGTCCACTGCTTAACATAAGTCACCCCCAAGGAATGCCACAAAGCAGAGTCCTGAGCTACCTGCATCCATCGACTTCTTGCATGTCTTAATATGTCGTCACTCCATATAGTGGGGAGATGCCCTACACACCGTCCGCCGATAAGAGGCCGCCACTCGAGAATCTTTTTTCCCCATCGCTTGTCGGTTCTTCAAGCCATATGGCCGGCCCATTGCCACATCAAGTGTTGGGCAATGTCGGTCACTCTGGTTCTACTGCGGATATCCTTATTTTGAAGTTTATCATGCAGAGAAACTCCGAGCATAACGCCCTCCATAGTTCGGTGCGAGACCTTGAGCCTCCTTATCCAGCCAGCAGTGAAAAACCACGTCTCTGTTCAATAAGTCATCACTGGGAACACGCACTAGTTGTACAGTCTCGTTTTTAAGATTTAAGATATACCTGACGAGAAGATTAGCTGTAATTTCCCGAACGCTGCCCAGCTGAGTTGAATCCATAGATTGACTTCTCGGTCGAAGTTGTATTTACCTAGTTGGACTATTTGTCCCAGGTAAACATACTCATCTACAACTTCGACCTTGGTGCTCCCAAGAACTACCGGCATAGGACATTATACATGATCTTTGTTATGTCCATGTATATCTTAAGACATATCCGTTGGGAGACACTATTGAGAGCATTGAGCATAGTGCTTAGATTCTCCAACAATTCTGCCATAAGGACTATATCGTCGGCAAATCGAAGGTTAGTGATGTACTCGCCATTGATGTTAATACCGTATCCTTTCCAGTCCAGAAGCTTGAAAACGTCTTTCAAAGCAGTGGTGAGGAGTTTCGGGGGCATAAAATCACCCTTTCTTACACCTCTCTGCAGTTGGATGGGTTTCGTACTCTGGTTCTGTCTGTAAGCCATCGTAGCCCGAATGTACAAGCACTTTAGCACTTCAATATAACGACAGTAAACTTGGCACCGCTGGAGGGATTGCAGCGCCGCCCAAATTTCGACGGCATCAAAGGCTTTCTCATAGTCCACATATGACAGACATATTCGCAAATTGTACTCCTCGGACTTCTGTATAATTTGTCGAAGTGTATGTATGTGGTTTATGGTGCTAAAACCTTTTTGGAAACCGGTTTGTTCGGGAGGCTGTATGTCGTCGATTCTGCATGCGAGACGATTCGTAATGATTCTCGAAAACTGCACGTAGACGCGGCTCAGAAGGGAAATCGATGTAGTTCTTCAAAAGAGCGTTGTCGCCTTTCTTGAAGAACAAACGACCAACCGCTCAGATCTGTCTAAATACACCTCCTTGTTTTCCAAAATAATGGAATCCATTATAAACTGCCAGCTCATGGGGTACCTTGAGGATCACCAGCCGATAAGTGACCGCCAGTATGGTTTTCGTCGGGGTCGATCAGCTACTAATCTTCTCGTCTACCTGACCAGGATGTGCCAATAGATGGGCGGAGGTATTAAAGTCCAATGTGGAGGCATTGGCCGTTAGTTTCGACATAGCGTAGACCTACGATCGGGTCTGGCACAAAGTTCTTCTTTCAAAGCTCCCTTCCTATGGGCTTCCCGAGAAATTGTGCAAATGTATTACCAGTTTCCTTGCTGATGGGAGCATCAAGGTCGTATTAGACGGTGCATGCTCTGATTACAAGCCTGCTAACGCTGGTGCTCCACAAGGCTGTTCAGAGCGGTTCGAATCGTCGACGACCAAGTCCTTTCCGATCGGCTCGATTCACTGTTGCTACGTAGGGATGTTGTATCCCGTTGCATTTGCTATCGAATCTACCACGGAAAGTGCTCTGAGGAATTGTTGGGATTAATTTCAGAAGCGAAATTTCGAGAACGCACAACGCGTAAAAATTCACGATTCCATCCTCACCATTTGGATGCTTGGCGGTCTACCACTGTGTGTTTTACTAGGAGTTTTCTTCCGCGTACAAATCCTCTGTGCAATTGTTTTCCATCGGAGATTTTTCTAGAACAATACGACTTAGGTACCTTCAAGAAAAGAGCTTACTCCTTTTCAAAAGGCTGTCAACGCAGCTGCAATTCCCCTGATGTTCACGTTATTCATGGGTTGCGGTAGTCACATACCATCATTTGAGTGGCATGCTCGTTTGCCCCCTCTTGTATATAAAGAAAAACAAGACGATCGCACTTCTGCTCCACGCCTCCGGAATAGTGCCACCATGGAGGACGGAATTAAAGAGCCTCTGAAGTCCAATGGGGAGGCAGTGGCCCTTAGTTTAGACATAGCGAGGGCCTACGATTGGGTCTGGCAAATGGATCACCAGTTTTCTTGCTGATCGGTGCATCAAGGTCGTAGTAGACAGTGTATGCTCTGATTACAAGCCTACTAACGTTGGTGTTCCACAAGGCTGCATGCTATCACCAACGTTGTTTCTTTTACATATCAATGATATTATTTTGCAAGCTGGTAACATGCATTGCTATTCAGACGACAGCACTGTTGATGACTAATACACCAGCCGTGCCAATATTTATCGGTAAAACGTCGCCGAGTACCGGGACAAATTTGTGTCTGAAGTCGAGTCTTTGCTGAAAAAAGTCTCGGATTGGGGGTGCCTAAATCTAGTCCAGTTCAATCTCCAGAAGACACAATTTTGCGCGTTTACCGCTTAAAATAACCCCTTTGTCGTATCTCCTCACTTTCACGGTACTTCAATAAAAGAGCTTACTCTTTTCTAATAGGCCGTCAACGCACCTGCAATTCCCCTGGTGTTCCTTTTATTCATGGGCGGTGGTAGTCACTTACCATCGGTTGAGCCGCATGCTCGTTTGCCCCCTCTTCTATATAAAAGAAACAAGACGACCGCACTTCTGCTCCTCGCCTCCGTTGTAGTGCCACCATGGAGGACGTAATAAAGAGCCTCTGAAAGACTTCAAGTACCGGTTTTCCACCCCCTTACAGAAGATCCGCTGCAATTCCATCCTCACCTGGGGCCTTGCCCTTTTAAAGGTGCTGGAGAGCCATTCTAATTTCGCTTAGACTGACTATAATAGTGTCTGTTAAGACTCGCTATTTGATCGTTACTGACACTTGCGTGTGGTTCCAACGATGATGTGTACAGCTGACCATAGAACCTCTCAGTCTCACTCAAATCTCAGGTGGCCCGTAAATGACACTGCCACACTCATTCTTCAGCTTTGACAGTTGGCTCTTTCTGGCAGATAGATCTCTGGCAAACACCTTAGAGCCCTGGTTCCGCTTGATCGCTTCTTCAATACGAGCAGTATTAAAGTTGCGTAAATCCCGCTGCATGTATTTGGAATTTGGAGATCTGTCTGTTCAATTGCTTGTATGCTGTCAAAGCTACTGAAGAATGAGAAATGCTTCAGCTTCATTTCACGTCTAACAGCCGTGAGGTTAAGCGTGTAATCGGTGAGTTTTTAGGTTCTTCTGCGGCGGGTCTTGCAAAACTTAGCTCCGTCCGCTTGGACAGATTTCACGAGCTTGACGTTCATATCGTCCACTACATAGCAGTCTTCTAGAGACTGACAACCATTTTGTATAATTCGAGTCGAAAGGTTTTGGGACTTTGGAGCACGAGAGGGACGGAGCGTTGACTTCATTAGACGAGACCTTTCTAACTGAACGTTTAGGTTCAT